ACCCACCACGCTCTGTGTGGCTGTCCTCTGTAGTGCCCTTCTGACGTCACCTTGGTCCCCTCCACCAAATACATGCAGCAGTTACAGCAGTTCTTAAAGCCCTGGCTTGTCACCTGTACTGCTCGGGGAGCCTTGCTGGGTGCAGGGACCATAGTCTGCTCTCTGCCTCTCTGTGGACAGAGTGAGGCAATATTGTTTGGTTGGTTGGTCTTTTGAAACAGGGTGTCTCTGTGTAGCCCTGGCTGTCCTGGAACTAGCTCTGCATATCAGGCTGGTCTTGAACTCAGAGATCCTCCTCCTGCCTCCATGCCCCACAGTATTTTTGTTGTTAAGACAAAATATATCATCAGTATTGACTTCCAGTGCAAATGTAAGGTTACAGGCTTTTCATTGTACCTCACATTTATTGTAAACTTTTTTATGGGAAATTTTACTTGTATTCACTTGGACACTTTCTTTTTTGGTAGTGGCAGTGGATGCTGGGAGATGCTCCAGCCTTCATGTAGGTTTCTTTTCTTCTTTTTTTGGTCCACAATGTACATCCACTTAGGACCTACCATCAGATTGCTGATTTCCCATTAATAATGTGTATTCAACTAAGGAGCTGCCATTAAATTATCGTGCTTTAGACTCTCTTAAAAGCAATCCTGTTTGTGTGGTTAACCTACCAAATCAATACTTGGTTAATTTGATTCGCTTAATTATGCCTTCACATTTTAAAAATTGCTTTTTAAGTTAATTTTGTAGTATAATTTAATTTAATAAAATATGTCCATGAATCTAGAGAAAAGGTTGGCAACCAGAGCATACAGGCCCCATCTGGCCTATGACCTGTTTTTATATGGCCCCTGGGCTAAAAGTGGGTTTTATGCCTGTAATCAACTCTAATATGCACACGCACACATGTACACACACACACACTGCAACAGTGACTATACATGGTTCATAAAACCTAAACTATTTATCATCTGGCCCTTTGCACAAAAATAAACAAACAAACCAATAATCCTTATTCGTAGGTAAAACATGCAAAAAAAGATCTTTTTTTAAAAGGCTTTTTATTTTTTTAAATTTGTGTGTGTGTGTGTGTGTGTGTATGCATGTATGTATGTACGTATGTGTGTATGTATACCATGTGTGTACAGGTGCCCAGGGAGGCCAGGGGAAGGTGTTAGATTCCCTGGAGCTGGAGTTACAGGAGGCTGTGAGCCGCTGGAGTGCTGGAAACTGCACCCAGGTCTTCAGGAAGAGCAGTAAGTGCTCCACTGAGCTATTTCTCCAGCCCCCAGAGAAATATCACATTCTACTGGTAACCCCATCTCCCCCATTCTGCCCCTCCCCTTCCTCTACAGGTAAAGCATATGCACTTGCTTTGATTTGAAGCATAACTCTCTATAGTTTGTTTATTAATCAGGACCGTAAGTATCTATGAAAGCTGGTCTCAAACTTGCTATGTAGCTAACAGTGACTTTGAACTTCAGATCTTCTCGTCTGATCCCCCCCCCCCCCCCAAGCACTGAAATTACAAATGTGCTCCACCACTCCTGGCTGTTCCTAATGATTTAAACACTAGCACACATATCTGTCTGCCTGCCACTGTTTGCAACAGGGCTCTGAACACGGGGCCCCGGAGACGGCTTCAGCAAGACAGGCTCCCGGTGTTGTGACGGGCACAGTGGCTCCCATGTCATGTCTACTTTGTGCTTCTTGTGGTGTATGCTGGGCTATTTCTGGTTCTTCACTGTCGTTGACATAGAGCTGACATCTTGGCACTTTGCCGGTGCGGCCCTATGACCAGTTCTTAGATGGGTTGGAGGTGGGTGTGGGGGTGGGCAGAGGGCTGGGCTGTGGGTGGCTGAACACCAGTCTCTCTGTAGTGTTGCTCAGGTCCTCCTCGATGAGTCTGTGTGTTTCTGCCAGCAGCGTATAGCTATCCAGCACCCTGACACCATCCAACAGAGGTACTGTCAAACTCTGGGAGTTTGCTCATTTAATAGGCAAGGGATGACATTTAAGTTTGCTTAAATTGCTCTTGTTATGAGCAAGGTCGAAGCCATTTCCCTGTTGATGAGCCACGTCCTCTCGCCGTCTTCCGTGGAACGCAGGCTTTCTCGTCTTGTCGCAGAAACTTCTGGTGCTGCAGATGGTGACCTTCGCATCTGATACAAGTTACAAATGCCTCTCCCGCTTGGCTCTCCTCTACTCGTCTATTATTTATCTGCTCTTTTCCCGCCTGTGTGCCAGTCGTGATAGTCACTCTTTCACTTGGTCAGTGTAACTGGCTACCCTCTCGCTGCCCCCAGCTCCAGAGGGGTAGCTGCGAAGTTCTCCAAGGCCCAGCCCATAGAGGAATCCAACCACGTCTTCCCATAATTATATGCCTTTCTCTCCTTTCTCAGTGTAAAATTTTAGTTGCTTCTTTAATGTCTACAGACACTTTGATGGTCATGTGACTGTCTCCTTACTCATGTTACCTTACATCTTAGAGACCAGCCCTGCACACATGCTCTGAGCTGGCATGTATAGGCTGGCTGTCACATGCTTACACTTGAGGAAAACCATATGCTTGTTATCAGGGAAATGGGAGAGCCTGGGAGCGTAGGGAGTGTAGACCTGGGCCAGGGCCAGAACCCCGCCGTAGCAACTCTGGAAATCAGAGAGAGCCAGGGGCCCAAAAAAGGCCGAGCTGTGCCTTCGTCAGCAGTAAGGGCACAGTGGCGTCCAGGCTGGTTGGCCACAGGCGGTCTCTTACCCAGATACTGCATGAGCTGTCCTACACTTTCCCCAAGGCCAGGCTTGTCCGGTGGGCCTGTGGTTGCCAGTGGAGGCTCTCCTCCTTGGCTCCAGTCCTGGGTGAGGGTATGCCAGCTGCCAGGGCTGCCATGAAACTCAGCAGCCAGTTGCACAAATGGTGTGTCTACTCTACAGTGGGAAGGAAAGTCTGTCACGTTGGGTGACGAGCACTCGAAAGGCCAGCCTCCTGCCCACAGCTGTGCTTCATTGGCAGGGTTCGTCCATTACACGGCACGTTCCCATCCATTTGCTTTTATGATGCCCTAGTGAACCGGGCTATTTCTAGCTATTGTGATGTAGGCCTTTTGTTTTGGTAAAGTTTGCTGGGGAGGTGCCTGGGTGCAGGAAGTTGGGTCATGGGTATGTCTGAGAGAAGGCAGCAAGCACAGGGAAAGCCCCGGCCCCCAGGTGCCTCCGTCATTTTCTGCCGAAGCCCTTGCATAACTCGAGGAGGCTGAAGAGTACTGAAGAGGCCGCAAATATCCCAAAGCACACATGGCGCCCGCTAACTGCTGTTCGCTAGGAACCGGAGGGCTCTGCCTTGTATTTGCCAGGGAGAAGCTCACAGGCCACTCCCAGAGATGAGACTTACTTCTTACCGTGCATCTAATCTCCTTCCTGGCAGTTGTCTCTTGCCTGCCGGGCAACCTGGCCTGTGGTGGATGGAGAGACAGAAGGAGGTGTGTCTTAACAAGGCCACAGAGATGCCACGTGACACCAGAAGGGTTTTAAGGGTGGTAGATTGAACTGCTTAGAGCAGTGGGTTTCCAACCTGTGGATTCCAACCCCTTTGGGGGGATCGACTGGCCCTCTTACAGGGGTCACCTAAGACTATATTTACATTACAGTTCACAACAGTAGCAACATTACAGTTATGAAATAGAAAAAATTAATTTATGGTTGGAGGTCACCACAACACGAGGAACTGTATTAAAGGGTCCCGGCGTTAGGAAGGCTGAGAACCACTCACTGGCTTGGGATGACCAAAGACAGTGAAGAGACTCCTAGAGTCAAGGTGAGCCCTGTTTGCTCTAGGCCCCTCTGCCCACCAGCAACTGCGCTTGAACAGGAAGCTCCTAGTGCCTGAGGAGCTGCTGCAAGCATTGCCTTCATGCGTCTGCAGGGCTGTTCCCTCCGATTCAGGGCTGGGGGCGGGCGCCCTGGTGTACCTTAGCAGAAGGCTGCTTGTGAAGAGGCCAAGCCATTTGTTGCCCCTGTTTGTCCCTAGGAACTTACAGAGGCAGGAACTGACCAGCAGGTAACCCAGTTGTGGACCCCAGCAAAGCAGCTGGGATGGGAGAGGCTTGGCTTCAGCTGGCCATGTGACTACTGCTCATTTGGTAGCAGATCACCCAAGAACCCTGTGTCTGCTATAACCACATGGTGGCGCCCAGGGAGCTGATAACCCCGTGGCCAGTCCCAGGGGGCATCGGGGTTCCCACTGTGCTTCTGTCCAGACAGCAGTGGGTAGTCTGTCTTCTCAGTATTGCAGTTGGCATCAGGCCATGAGAAAGCTCATCCCACATGTTTGCATTGGGTCCTTGTCTTGGGCCTCAGAGCATGAAGAACGCCTTTAAAAGTAAAATACATTCTGCCTGGCCTTGGTGGCACAAGACTTTAATCCTAGCACTTGGGAAGCAGAGGCAGGCGGATCACTGGGTTTGAGGCCAGCCTGCTCTACAGAGTGAGTTCCAGGAAACAAACAGCAACAGCAAAAGTAAAATACGTTGAGCTTTGATATTCTGATGTTATTTTTTCTCTCTAAAAATGCTTGCTCCCTGTGTTAGCCTTACTCATCCAGGGGCAGTACGTAGTCCAGGCTTTGTCTCTCAGAAGTGTAACCCCGTTATCCCTGGATGCCACTCTGCGCCTTAGGTACCTAGAGCAGGGGGGAGCCCCATTCCTAATGTGCTTCCATTGTGTACAGCTGCTGTCCAGGGGCCCTGCCATCCCAGGGACCAAGTGCATCTCCTTGGACACACCCATGTGCTAGCAGCGTTAGCTTGTCTCTGGGAGGCCCAAGAGCAATAGATGTTGGCCTGGTGAGATTGGAAAGTCCTATGGAACCGCATGCGTGCATGGCCTAGTATGTTCTTATTGACTCTGTGCCCATGCCTGGCTCTTGATAACTCTCCGTGGCTCTCCCAGGGTGGGCGCCTACCGCACGCCCCCAGGCCCACCATGGTGACTAGTGTCCATTCTTGCAGGTAGTGAAGGGTTACAAGGCAACCATCCAGCAGACCCTGGACATCCTCTTCCTCCAAGAAGGGTCTGAGTTCCTGAGCAGCACCGATGCATCCACTCGGGACTCTGCTGACCGAACCATCATTGCCTGGGATTTCCGGACTGCTGCAAAAATCTCCAACCAAATTTTCCACGTGAGAAGCCTTGTGTAACATTGTTCATGGTGCCAGCCTGAGGGATATTCTTGTAGCCCTAGGTTGGGGCCCTGGGCCCCTCTCTCTCTGGGGGAAGAGGAGCTCAGCTATTTGAAATCTGTAGGATAGGGTCGGCATAGGTCAGGCCCAGGTCTGATGCACAGTGACAGCCTCTGTAGACTGCCCTTTCTGGTTCTGTCCCCCATGGCGATGACAATACTCACTTTAAATAATACTCATTTCATAGAGTACTAAGAACTACAGGAAGAAAATACTTATAAAGATCTAACACAGTGTCAGAGAGACCACCATCACTACCAACATCACCATCGCCACCACCACCTGTCACCAACATCACCATCGCTGTGACCACCATCCTTATCACTTCTGTCACCACCACCGCCATCATCACCATCACTGTAGTCATTGCCTCCACAATCATCGCCGCCGCCCTCACCATCACCCACTACCACCACCACCATCTCCACCACACTGCCATCACCAACACCATCCCAACACTGTGGTCACCACCATCACCATCGCCCCACCATCTCCCCTCCCACCTGCCCCACCATCCCCCACCATCCCCCACCATCCCCCGCATCCCCCACCATCCCCACCATCCCCCACATCCCCCACCATCCCCTACCATCCCCCACCATCCCCCCACCATCCCCCGCATCCCCCACCATCCCCCACCATCCCCCACATCCCCCGCATCCCCCACCATCCCCACCATCCCCCACCATCCCCCACCATCCCCCACCATCCCCCACCATCCCCCGCATCCCCCCACCATCCCCCACCATCCCCCGCATCCCCCACCATCCCCCGCATCCCCCACCATCCCCCGCATCCCCCACCATCCCACCATCCCCCACCATCCCCCACCATCCCCCGCATCCCCCCACCATCCCCCACCATCCCCACCATCCCCCCACCATCCCCCACCATCCCCTACCATCCCCCACCATCCCCACCATCCCCCACCATCCCCCACCATCCCCACCATCCCCCACCATCCCCCACCATCCCCCACCATCCCCACCATCCCCCACCATCCCCCACCATCCCCACCATCCCCCACCATCCCCCACCATCCCCCGCATCCCCCACCATCCCCTACCATCCCCCACCATCCCCACCATCCCCCACCATCCCCCACCATCCCCCGCATCCCCCCACCATCCCCCACCATCCCCACCATCCCCCCACCATCCCCCACCATCCCCACCATCCCCCCCACCCTCCCTCCCACCATCTCCTCCCCACCACCACCACAACTAACCACTACCACCATCATCTCCATCACCATCTGTGATCACCATCACCATCATTTGGTGATGGTAAACTGTCACTGATCTCTTGGGTGTCCTGCCCCTGGTCTTAGTAGTGACCCTGAGTACATCTAGACCTTGTCCTCCCTGCCATGTCCTTCTGCTCAGCGGGTTCTGAGTGAACCTGAGCAAGCCGACTTTCAGACGGCCTCAGACAGCCTGGTAGAGATGAGGTGAGGGCAGGTGAGAGTGTTGCTGGCCACCCTCTACCTCTGCTCTACCTCCACGTGCTCAGGAACAAATGAGCGCTTCACTGAAGTGCCTCTCCAGAATACCAGCGCATCGCCTGCTATTCCAGGTGCTGTGATCCAGCTGTTCCCAGAGAGCTGTTTGCTCTGTCGGGAGGCTTTCAAGATGGTGGCTTAAGGACAGTCTTAGAGCTGGGGGCGGTAGCACACACCTTTAATCCCAGCACTCAGAGGCAGAGGCAGGCTGGTCTTTTTGAGTTTGGGACCAGCACATTTGTATAGACGAGGGCCTTCTTTAGCACCGTGCGGAAGGGACACAGCGTGTTCATGTTGGCACTGGGTTGGCCCGCTGAGCTCCACTTCACACTGCAGAGCCGCAGGACAGGATAATTGTTTTAAAGCTCTAATGTGTGGCAACTTGTTACAGCAACAGCAACCCATACAGACTCTGAAGCCAAGATCCAGGAGAAGGGGGCAAAACCCCAAGAGCAGAGTGCGGGCTTGTGGGAGGGGCTTGTGGGAGGGGCTTGTGGGAGGGGCTTGTGGGAGGCAGAAACCGCACTGTGTGGGAGGCTCATCCCTCTGTGGTCCTGCTTTCTCAGGAGAGGTACACCTGCCCGAGCCTTGCCTTGCATCCGAGGGAGCCTGTGTTTCTGGCGCAAACCAACGGCAACTACCTGGCTCTCTTCTCCTCCGTGTGGCCCTATCGGATGAGCCGACGGCGGCGCTATGAAGGACACAAGGTACCCCTATCTTTGTTACCTAGGTCAGATGCTGACATTGGCCTCCAAGCTTCCCCAGGCATCCCCAGGACTCTGATGTGGCCCCTCTGGGCACCATGCTGCTTAGGTGGACGACTACTAGCTGTGTGGATGAGGTCCACTCAGGGCTAGGCCACATGCACAGCCACAGGCAGGAGAGCATTTCAGTTCACATGTCATGGGGCGGTGACAAGAACAGGGTAAGATAGACTTGGGAGCTCTTTCTCTGCGTATCCGTTTCCTGCCTGAGGCCCACTTTGCTGGGCTGGAAAAGGCTGGGGACTCACTGACTTTTTGGTGCCAAACCCCAGCTGTGCAGAAGATGCAGCATCTGGCTTCCATTACCAGGACATTGTGGTTAGATGCTGTCATCTATGAAGTTTACGCCCAAGTGCCGTGCAGTGGAGCCACAGTAAAATAAAATAAACCGCAATAAAATAAAATAAACTACACATATCGCTTTAATGTGTTAGCCATTCATGTACTGGAGACCTGCAGCCCGTGGGCCATGGGTTTGACATGACTGTGGGCTTAGTGGCCTTGGGACATCAGTTACCCCACGCACCCCTCTCTCCCCGCAGCCATATAGCAGGAGTTCAGCCTTGGGCCTCAGGGTCACTGGCGATTTTTGGCCTCAGCTTACGCATTGTAGTGCACGGGTTCATAGCCACCGCCTGCCTTACAGGTCTCCTGCTGTCTTTCTTCACAGGTGGAAGGCTACGCCGTAGGCTGTGAATGCTCCCCGTGCGGTGAGCTGCTGGTGACGGGCAGCGCTGATGGCCGGGTTCTGATGTTCAGCTTCCGCACTGCCAGGCGGGCCTGCACACTACAGGGGCATGCGCAGGCTTGCCTCGGTACCACCTACCATCCCGTGCTGTCCTCTGTCCTCGGCACCTGCTCCTGGGGAGGGGACATCAAGATCTGGCACTAACGGGCAACGGAGACACCGAAGTTGGCTGGAGGTTAAGCCAGGGCAGGGGCTGTCGCCGCTGCCTGCTTGGCCTCAGTGACTCATCTGTGAAATGGACATGAGAAGCTGTCTCAGGGTGTAAGGACCGCGTCAGTAAAGGCATTGCTAAATGGTGGTCGATGCCCAGTCATTAAGTGTGTGTCGTGTAGTTTTTCTTAATATGATTTTGGGAATGAACACATGTCAGCAGCTTCCTGCTGCCTTCATACTGCGGGTAGGGGATGTTGAGGTGGGACTGTCACCTGCTGGTCCTGAGAGTGTTGTTCTTGTGACAATGGGGCTCCGGGCCTTCTGTCTGCTCAGGAACCCTGTGCAGGACCTCCACAGGGCCCTGCTGCTCGCCTGCTCCCTACTAGACACCGGAGCTCCACCCTGCTCCATCCTAGTCACCTCTCCGGTCCTCTACCCTGCCACTTGCCCACTGCCGGGTGGGTGGTCTGTGCTGGCCACGGCTATGTGACTCTCCTGGAAGGGGCGGTGAGGAGCAGCAGGGGCCCAGAAGCACCTTCAGACACTTCAGAGACTGACTGGGCTGCTTAGGAAGTGTGCTGCTTTGAATAAGAATGGCTCCCAAGTGTAAGGAGTAGGTTTTTCTGCCTGACCCTGGTCTTGTCCCGCGGTGCCACCGCGCCAGCCCCAGTTAGCACATCGAGACTCTGTATCAGATATAAAGCTGTTGGCCAGGTACTTGTTTCTTATCAGCTAGCTCTGTCTTAAGTATTCTGTCTGTTAATCTAATATTTCCACGTGCTTTCATCTTACCGGGGAATGGGGCCTGTTGTCTGGTCTCCCCAGCCTCTCCATGTTGACTCCTCCTTCCTCCTTCCTCTTTTCCTCCTTGTCTCCTAGTCCCTCCTCTCTTGCTTTCCTATTGGCCAACACTGCTTTATTCATTAACCAGTATGAGTAACACATTTACAGAATGACATCTCCCATCACCCAAGGGCTCATATATATTTGAATGCTTAGTCACCGGGGAGGGGAACTGTTTGAAAGGACTGTGAGGGTTAGCGGGTATGGCCTTGTTGGAGGAAATGAGTGACTGGGAATGGACTTTGAGGTTTCAAAAGCCCATGCTAGGCCCAGATTCTCTCTCTCTCTTCCCCTCCCCCTCCCCCTCCTCCCTCCCTCCCACCTTCTGCCTTCAGGTCAGGATGTAGAACTCTCCAGAACTATGTCTGTACTCTCTCGTATGCGTCTATGCTTTCTGCCATGATGACTAAACTCCTGAAACTGTTTGCAAGCCCCAATTAAATGCTTTCTTTTATAAGAGTTGCCATGGTCATGGTGTCTCTTCACAGCAATAGAACAGTGACTGAGACAGGAAGCCTAGCTCTTTAGGGACCTGGGCAGGCCCATGAGTCTCAGGCACTACCAGAATTGTCACTGAGAAACAGGGACTCACAGGTTGGGGTGACGGGAGGAGGCAGGAGGCCTGGGACTTGGCAGAGTGGAATGTGACCTCACACCTTACCCCGTTCTACAGTCTAGTCCCAGGCAAGACCTGCCTCCCTCCCTCTGTGCCCCAGTAAGTCAGGAGAGCAGCCTACGGGTGTGTTGGGGAGCTGGAAGAGTGGTGGTCATGGTGAGCCCAAGTCAGAGGCCAGGGACTCAGGGATGCTGTGTAAGGCCATTGATTTTGGTGTTCAAGGCATCGAGGGGCCATTCCCACCAGAGTAAAGCAGGTCAGGGCCCCGGGCTGGGGCTTGTCCTAAAGCCCCTATGCCGGCCCCTATGCCCCTGCTGCCCCAGTAGGTCAGCTTAGGTTCCCTCTCCCCAAGCCGGTGGCTGCCTCCTCAGTGCTCGGGTGCCTCGGGCCATTGTACCACCGTCCTGGCCCTAGGCTTCTGTCCTTCCCTCATGAGCCTACCCTCTCCCTCATTCAGGGAGCTGTGGAGACGCAACACAGTCTCCTTCTCCCTCAAGCACTGGGTTCTACCCCATGCTGTCCTGTGTGACTGACACTCAGGTGTGGAGTAAGCTCCCTGGGCAGAGCTTTGTGTTCTGCTGTGTCTCTGGCACATACACATGCAATAAGTAAGGCTGTAGTCTGTCGGGACCCAGGGTTTAGGGCCAGTCAGACCCAGACTTGAGCTCTGCCTCTGTTTCCTTCATCACTGTGTGACCGTAGTCAAGCTGTGTCTCAGTCCCCCCTCCCTAAGATCAGCACGGGCTCTGTGTGCAGTGGGCACTCGGTATTTGGACCTGTGGCCGTCTTGATGCGGAACCAGGGCCAGGCCCCATTCTGAGGCTCTCCTGTGGCAGTCCAAGGGCTGGATGGTCCAGAACTAACCCTTGTAGAGGAGAGCTGACAGAAGCCTACTTGCTTCCTCCCCACTGGACAAACTCTTGACCAGCTGCGTTCTGTCTCAAGCCCTACTAGACTAGGACTCCTTGCCCAGACAGATGGGGAGCTGTGATCAGTAGCCCCCACCCTGAGCCAGAGGACCGCTATGCTCCGCGAAGAACTCGGGTCCCTTGATGGTGTCTTCATGAGTGTCTCCCCAGATTCAGGCCTGAATGATCTAGAACACAATAGGCCCAGCCTCTTTCTAGCCATTCCCAGTGCTCTTCCAGCCTCCCCCAGCCTCTCCCAATGCTCCTCCTTCTCCTCCATCATCTCCCCCATCAGCCTCCCCCAATACCTCCTCCCATGCCCCCATCAGCCATCCCAAGGTCTCTCCTTAACCCGGGGTATCTTCTGATCACTGTCCCCACCTAAGTGTTGGTGTCTTTGGGCTTCCCAGGGAGGGCTAGCAGATGGCTGTAGAGGGCTTCCCTGTCTACCTCAGCCCCACCCCCTCCTGTCCTCTCTCTGATCAGACTCTGGGCCCATCCCCTGATAGTGTGGGATTTGGCTTCTCTAAACCTCTGCTTTCTTTCTCCGGTACACAGTGGGCCCTTCGGGACAAAGAGGGTAGAGGAAAGAGTTCCACAGACTGTCACCCTGCTGGTGTCACCAGGACAGACAGAGCCCATCTGAGTCTTCCATGCTCTAGTTCGGGTCCAGGGGGACCAGTCAGGGTCTCCAGGAGTCTCGTGGTGGTTGTTTCCCGGTGTCATCCTCAGTGTTGGGTTTGTCCCTGGACGAGCTGGTGCCCTGTGCTTCTGGGCAGGAGGGCAGGTGTGTCCCCTGCTCCCCCTGCTTTCTTCAAATGTCTCCTTCCAAAGAACATTCGGAAAGATTGACTTTGATCCCAGCTGAGGTGTCGGGAGTTCACCATTTGCAATTTAAAAATAGGAAAGCTAAATTTGGAAGGCAGAGAGCAGGATGAACCTGGAGTGTGGGTTCTCCCTCCACCCACCCTCCTGGGCCGAACTCACCCCATCCCACTTAGCATCTGCATCCTGCAACGCCAGATCCCAGGTACCCTGGGAGGAGAGCCGCCCTGGCTAGAGCTGCCTCCACAGGCAGAATCTGCTGCTGGCTTGTTCACCGAGTCAGGTTATGACTGTGGCACTAACATGCAGCCCCCCACGGCGTCCTACAGAGGAGGCTTCTGATCCAAGAGCACAGAGACATTCGGGGACCACTCTTCCCTGAAGCCGGTACTCTTGACTCATTTTACTGACTGTCCAAATGGCTCTCTATATTCTCCCAACCCTACACTGGAGAGGTCACCTCAGAGAAAGGAGCCGTCTAGGGCAGCAAGAAGAAAGGGTGAGTGTAGGGGACAGCGCCAGGTGACCTGAAATGCTGAGCTGGCTGGCCGGTCACAGGAACCCTAGATGAAAGCTTGGATGCCGAGCCAGGGGGGCTGCAAGGAGGGGACCGGGGAGGGACAGCACACGAGGTCCCTGCTTCCAGATAACTGGTTAATGCGGAGAAAAAAAAAGAACCGTGGACCCAGACTCTTTTTCACTGCTGCATTTATTGAGGAGTGCGGAATACAGTTCTAATTGACGGCATGCATCACAGACGACAACTTCACAGGGAGTGGGGTAGGGCTGAGGGGGTGGGAGGAGCCTCATATCGGAGGTAGAGCCAGGTGGTGCTGGGAGGGGAGCGGAGGAGCGAGCACCGGCGGTTCTGGGGGTGTTCCTGGCCCCTCTTGGGCCTACAGGCCGGGACATGGGAGAGCTCAGGGTGGATCAGGGCAGAGTGCTGGCTGCACTGCGGGACGGGTGCGAAAGACATTTGCTGCGCCCTAAGTGGCTTCGGTTCCCCCTCTCAGTGGACAGAACATCTGGATTCCCTTGCTGCTGGCTTGCTAGCTTCCCCCCACTGTGGAGGCTGGCCCCCCCTTTTGGGCCCCTGCCTCCCTTTCTCTAGGGCAGGCCCCACGGACCCTCACTGGAATGAAGGAGCTTCATGTGAGGCATGCCAAGGCTGCCATCCAGGAGCCGGAGGCAAGCTCTTGAAGAAACACTCTTTTCCCTACAAAAATACTTTCACTTATAAAACTGGGGATGCTCACTTCAGGGAGGGGCGCAGTGTGTAAATATTCTGGGTGGGGTTTGTAGCAGAGGCTGGGGTGAACAAGACGATAAGCAGAGAGGGTTGTTCTTTCGGGTTTCACTGGGGTGTTGGTAAGGGGGTCAAAGGAACTCGAGTTCCTTGGCAGGGGTCCTTGGCAGGGGTCGGGCACGTGGGGGCTGACTACTCCTTACTTAGGGCGGGATAGATAGGTGGGGGCCCCTGACTGCAGCCTGCTGCTGGCAGTCAGTTGAGCAGGGTACCGTAGAGCTGGGCCTTAGTGAGACTGTCCTTACGGCTCAGCCCAGACCCTCCAGTCCTGGGGAAGGCCTGCTGAGGACTAAGACGGGTACCAGGGCGCATTTCAGGAGAGGCCTCCATGGAGCTGGGCTCCAAGGAATCCCTGGAACCATGCTCGGGCTCGGGGCTGCTGCCAGCCCCGCACAGCTGCACCCCCAGCCTATCCCCATCCCCCTCACTGGCTGCATAGCCAGGGTCGACTGAACGGCTGGGGCTGAGGCTCAGATCGCCCCCTGCTCGGAGGTAGCAGGGCTCGGCCAGATGACCCTGGGAGAGGTCATCGCCCTCCGAGAAACTATCAGCTTTGTAGGTGGCATAGAGGGGGCTGGCACGGCCCTCGGCCTTCTTGCCTGGGCTGCTACCGCCGCCGCCGCGGCCAGCGCCGTAGAAACGTTCTGAGAAGTTGCAGGGCGAGGCGCGGCCGGCGGTGCCAGCCTGGTAGGAGTAGGCGCCGACATCCTCCACGCTCACGGGGCGCCACTGGCCTCGAATGTTCTCTCCAGCGAGCCGGTTACCGCTTGGCTTGGCCCTCAGGTTCCACAGGTTTGGAGGCATCAGAGCCGGCTGGGGACCTGGGGAGGTCGGGAAGCGGTAGGACTCGGCCTGGTACGGAGACACAGTCCGAGCAAAGCCTGGGGCTACCTGGGCCTCGAGCGGGGAGGCCAGGGTGGCCGAGGCCTTGGGGAAGCGAGCGCTGCCCCCATAGCTGGCAGAGGGCGGCTTGCGGTTGAAGAGCTCGTCGCGGCTATTCAGGTAGATGGCCTGCTGCGAGGCGGTCAGCGTGCTGGCCTGCGCGTGCTCCTTCTCCTCGGACGTGGCGCTGAAGCTGGAGTAGGAGCTGGACGTGGGCAGCGAGGCCGCGTAGCCCGGGAAGGCATCGTGGCGGAAGGCCTCAGGGTAGGCTGCCGCCTCGGCTTCCTCCTCCTCATCCGCTGCGCTGTCGGTGGAATTCTGCCCCCGCAGGAAGCCCACATCGGTCACCGGCGTGTCCACGCTGGGTCGCCGGTCGTGCTGACGCTCTTCGGGGCAGTAGAGAGCCGTGTCGCTGCAGTAGATGTCTTCCTTGTACTGGGGTCGTGCGCCAGACTTCTCCACGCCATCACAGAAGCCCAGGTCGCAGACAGAGGCATCCGACAGGTGCGAGGACAGACTACCAGGGTCTGGCTTCTCTAGCACCTTGGCGATGACGCAGGTGGGCACGCTGTCAGCGTAGACCGGATGGCAGAGCTGGGAAGGTAGGCTGCAGCCATGCTTCTCCATGTGCAGGCTCACACGCTGCTGGAAGTCCGAGGGTAGCTGGAACGGGCGTGGGGAGGAGAGGATGGAAACAGGTCATAGTCAGCAAAGCCGCTCAGCCCTGGCCTCGAGGCCAGGGCCACGTCAGCATCACTGACAGACAGAGACAGACAGACAGACACACGACATCCCCCACCCCCAGGCGTCTCAACTCACATTAGTGGGAGCAACTTAACCCCAAGGACAAGTACCTGGGGCTTCCCATCACCTCTACCCATCCACCCTACTCTAAGCGGCTGAGCAGAGGTTGTCTAGGCTCTGTTCTGCACCCTTTCTGGGTCCTGTCTAGTGAGGGGTGACTCGTTCTTGTCAGCCCAAAGTGTCTATAGCCGCCCCCACCCCTGTGAGCTGCTGAGTGAGACAGACTCAGAACACAGATGCAACAAAGATTGAGGGACCAGGGCCAGGAGCCAAAGGGTTCCACAGAGTGCCTGGTGGCAGGTGGGGGGGGGGTGTCCAGCTACTGTTTGATCTATTTTGTGAGTGTTGCAGGTTTGGCTAGGCCTGGGGGAAGGGGACATGGGCAGGGCTCTGGGTAGGAGACTTCTTGTCCATGTGGGCTGGGAGGAACAGTCTGGCCAGGACGGGCTCTGTCTAGTCCAGTGTTGGTACCCGCAGCCGAGGGCTGCCGTGGGCTCTGCTGCCAATTCACTCTGTAGGCCTTCAACGTGTGCCCTGTCCTTGATGTGTCCCTTGTTTCTGGTATGGGCCTGTCTCTAACTGTGCAGCCCCCAAAGGAAACAGGTGTGTAGCCTAAGTAGGTTAGAGCGGCCCTTGGAAATGAGTATGGGGCCACCTTTCACCATCAGGAAGCCAGGACCCAGGTGCACAAGGGACGAGGGTTCAGGCTCACCGGGCAGCTTCTTCTTGGAGGGTGGGGAGAGGCTTCGGGGTGGGGTGGCCCAAAAGGAGCCGGGTGGTCCTGGGACGGGGCGGGCCTGGCTGTGGGGCGGGGCCACGTTACCTCGGACACCTTATGGACCCTGCCGTAGGTCTGGCTGCACTGCAGCAGCTGGGCCGCTAGATTGCAGTCCTTCCTATAGAGCTCCTGGAAGACAAGAGAGGGTGATTGACAGCCCCCAGTGCCAGCAGGGTGATCGGAGCTGGAGAGCAGAGCGGGCAGGACAGCTGGTTCTGGCCGGTCCCTGTCCAGGCTCTGCACTCTGGCTGCAGTCAGGGTCTACTTGGACCTGAAGCTGCTGGTGTATAGAGGGTGCCCTGTCCACACGGGGCTCTCCACAGGTCGGGGCAGTGACAGACAGGTGGACCCCATCAGCCCTGCGCTCCCAGACAAGTCAGGGACAGGGATGAACCCCAGCTCTCCCACCCTTGTGGCCCACTTCACTGGCATTGCCTGGCCTTGGGGCTGATTGCCAGGCTGGGCCAGGGGCAGGGTGGGTGTGTGACCCCAGGTGCAGGAGGGGCCCTGCCCAGCAGCCTCCTGAGCTGGGAACACATGCAAACAGTGGGAATGAGGGGGTGCTTTCACCCTCGGTATTGACCTGTCGCATGTGTCTGCGGCACACTGTCCCTCCCTGCTCTCCAGAGGTCACAGCTGTCACAGGACCCGCCTGCACTGCCCAGAGGGCCCAGGACTACTGCCACACCCCCATTCAACTGGGAACGGCACTCTGAGCTGCCCTCCCCCACCCCACCTCTGCATGGGGGAGGGCAACTGGGTCCTGCAGCCCCGCATAACTCCTCCTAGGGACAGAGTTGGAAGTCATCCCCTATGAGACCCCACGGGGGACTGGAGGGTTGTGGGCACTGCCCAGCCAGCCCAGGTCAGCCACAGTGAGTGGGGATACCTCTTGGAGAAGTAGGCGGCCTTGGACAGACATGCACATTAGAGTCAGGCTCCTTCCTTGAGCTGCCTGTGTTTGGGACATCCCTGCCCTACTCTGGGAAGGGCCCAGGCCACCTGGCCACGGAGTGCTTAGTCTTCAAATCCTAAGTGATAGGCTCTAGTGGAACTAACAGAAACTGCCACTGGCACACTTAGTTCGCACTTAGCACTTCTAACAGGCTACTCAGACCGTTGACTGCCCAATTTACCATCTACTTTCCCCATATGGACTCAAAATCCACAAGGGCAGCCATCTTTCTCTCTTCGGTCTGTGTTGGTCAGGCCATAATCTCAGAACCTCGTATGATCTCATGGCAAGGAGCACAGGCTAATTAGTGCGTCCACAGTCAGCCCACAGGGAGCAGTGGGGAGCGCCTGGCCATCTCATGGGGCTCCTCTGGATGATCACATAGCTGTGGTGTGAGTCTGGGGCTGCCTGAAGCCAAAAGTCTCGTGCGGATGGGACAGATGGCCTCCTGTACCCGCCGGGAAGTCTGCCCCCTTTCAGTGTCTTGGGCACTTCTCCAAGGCCTCACTGCCCTGTCTCTCCCCTTGTCTGGAGCCAGGCTGGGGTCCCTCTGAATCAGAAAGGCCCTGCCTGCCAAGGCTTCCCCTGGGAAGCCCCCCAAACACCTGCCACATCCCTCCAGGGGCCGAATGAGTTCGGCACTCACGTTGTCCTCTGACAGCTTGTCGATGGTCACCTTGGCCTCCAGCAGGTGGCTGTTGAGGGCGACAATCTCGTGGCTCATGGCACGCTTCTCTTCCTCATAGTGTTGGCCCTGGGTAATAGGGACAGAGGAAGGAATGGTTAGCAGTTAGGGCCAAAGCCCAGCTGCTGGGTCGAGGCTTTTGTGAGCCCAGTAGTTGTTGATGACAAAGTGCTCAAGGGCTAAGCTCAAGACCACTTACTAACCCGGGCTTCATCCCGTCACAGTACTGAGTAACTGGTTTAGCCTGGGCCAGCCCCTCCACTGAGCCTCAGTTACCTAATCCCAATGCCCTGCTTATGAGGTGGAAAGTATGGCTTGCCCTGCCCATCTATCACAATGAGTTGGGAGAGTGATGCTCAGCCCCTACCTATCCCTTTTGTTCTCACATTGAGGACAGGCAGGCACAGTAAGCAAACACCTGTCACCAAACAAGATCAAGCGAGAACCTCATCCTAATATAGGGAAGTGCCAGAACCCCATGGCCATTCTCTATGCTGCATGCACAGGCGTGGCGTCCCTGGACCCCGCCTCGTTTCGCCCTGAGTGCACCTCCCCCTCAGGGGAACAAGCCACAAGGGGCTACTCAGCGAGAGGTACTGTGCACTGGGGCCTCACCATCCGGTACAGCTTATCCTCCAGTTCTTGGTTGACACGCTGCAGGGTCATGTAGTTGCTCTGAATCCTGCAGCAGGAGGCAACAGCGTCAAGACTTGCAAGCCCTGACCTCCCTACTCACAGACATCATGCTCTGCTTACCATGGCTGTCAGGCACCTAAGCTTGTTCCACCAGCCCTACCTGATTCCATGTCTGCACTTAAGATCTGATCAGATCTAGCTCCTGCCCCTTTGCTCTGCCCACACACAGTAGGGCTCTTTGGAGAAAACACAGAGAGGCCTATGTGCACAAGAGCCTGGAAGAGCTGTACTAAGGTCTCAGAAGCTGGCAGGTGGTTTACAGGCCAACTGCACATCAGAAGGAGACACACGTAAATATGGCCCTGGGACGTGGTTCACCTGGAAAAGCAGGTAGACACAGAGCAGTGTGCTTTGGGATTCTCTTGCTGGTGGCTGGGGGACTGGGCATGGTGGCTGTGTGTCCTCTAGACGACCTTGGCAGTATTATTGCTACCTTGCCAATGGGAAAGGGACACAAAAAGACGCTTAATGCAGTTAAGTGGCAGAGCTGGGACTTTAACCAAGGTCTGGTTGCACTACCCAAGCTTGGCTCCCACACAGCATGGTGGTGATGTTCAAAATCCCAGAAGAATGGGACCATCCGAAGAGGGACACACTGCCCTCGGGACAGTGCCAGCTGCTTCTCTGAGTACTTAAAACAAACTCAGCCAACAGCAGCCTGCATCCTCTTTGTGTTTCTAAGCTGGGGATACCCACAATAGGGTTTAGAAAAATCAATGCCAGAAGGAAAATGTAAGAATCTGGTCCACCTCTCAATGCATCCTCAGTCCCCAAGCCACTCAAGATGCAGCTTTTACATTCATTCAAATTCATCTCAGGAGTTTTTGTGGCCAGTGGGGTGGGGTCTGGAAGCGGCCCCTCCCATGCTGCCGCTGGCCCATCCAGTGTCAGAGCAGTGCGTGTATGGGGGGGTATGAGCCAGGTCAGGAAGAGGGCCCCGTGAGAGCCTGCCAATGGCATCAGTGGGCCATAGGTTCAAGCCCTGGGTAGGCTGCTCTGCTCCATGTTTGCCAAACATCCCCAGAGCTGGCATCGTGGTAATCTAGCTCCTCCCCTCTGCTCATCCCAGCCCCATCCTCACCTGCGCAGTTTCTCAGTGACCTTGTCCAGCTCCTCCTGAGCGCGCCGTAGCTCAATCTCCAGGTAGTGGCGTGTGGAGTCAAACTCGGTCTCCAGTTTCTCCAGCTTATGTGTGGTGTAGGACAGCCGCTTGCGCAGCTCGCCCTTCTGCTCCTGCAGGGCGCTGCAAGACAACAGGCAGCTGGCCAGGCTGTGCCGCTGAGTATGGGGAAACTGAGGCCACACTGGCCAGCCAGGCATGCCGTGGGCATGTACTGTGATCTTGACCCTTGTGCACCCAGGCACACCCCTGCCTTCTCTGTGGTGGCTTTGCCAGCACTCATGTCCCTTGAGGGGCCAGGACTCTGTGTTGCCCCCTGGTCATCTTAGCCCCAACACCTGAGAGTGTAACTTGTAATAGACTTGCTGTAGGTAGAGGGCAGGAGGGAAGTTCAGGAAACCTGGGGGCAGGGGGTGGGAGGCGCTGGGAGCCCCAGCTCTGCCCAGATGTGCTGTGGGACTAATGCTCTAGGAACCCCCCAACCGGTGTCAAACCCAGTGAGGAGTGTGGAGGGCAGGCAGGCAGGCATCACCAGAAATGTCCCCAACTCTGTGAGTAAGCTACACATCACAGGCACACTCCAGGCCACCCCCATCAAGCATTCCTGGATTCCTGCCCAGACCTAAGGAAAGGGGGCGGGTCCTCCTGAGAGTCAATCCCCAAAAGAGAATCCAAAGTAGCAAGGGAAGCCCAAAGGCAAGGCCTTGCTGCCCACACAGGCCCAGCTGCCGGGAGTTATGTTGCCTCACCCAGCTGGCTCCATGCTGCTCTCCTCCAGGCAGCCCGCCCAGCTGCACCAGCCGCTACTCAGGCCCTTCCTCCCTTGTGGGGTGGCAAGCTTCCAGGAGTACCCACTTCATCCAAAGCAGAGTCGCTGTGGGCAGCAGCCCTTGAGGTTGGGAGTTCCTTACAGGGGCTCCTGGCTGTAAGCTACAGGGAGAGACTGTGCCCTCGGGAAGAGGTGGCAGCATGGTCCATCCGCTGTGGTGGCTGTGGTGGCCCTTTCAGCATGGTAAGCTTTTGCACTCAGCTTTGGTCCTTTATGGGTCTGCGAGGCAGCCTGCCCCACATGCCTCCAGCCACCTGGCTCTACTCAGTTCGGACTCTGCCCACACTGGCAAGCCCAACCCAGGCACTACATTGTTCCTCTCCCCTGCCTTGGGAACCCACCGGAAGAGGAAAGGAGCTCCAGGGTGCATTCCATGCGGCACTGGGACCCACCAGGAAGCATTGCTTCACAGAGCCTTACCCTGGCCACCCAATGGTCTTCTAGACATGGGGTGACTTACTGGTCCACCAGCCTTGCCTGTCCCTGCCCATCTCAGCCATCACAGTCACCTACCTTTCCAGGACAGTTGACCAACAGAGCTCCGGCTGCTGGATCTCCAGCCTGCTTGTTCCAGGGGCTACATCGCCCAGGCCCCTGGCCCAGACACATATCCCCTGTCCTTGCTGGTGGCGATTCCATGACATCTTCTCCCTTGCATCTGGCACCATCTTACCTGCAGGCCTTTGCCTCACGTGCCACTGCACCTTGGGTCCATGCTCCAGACTCATCCCCACAACAGCCACACCCAGCACCTTCTTGGACTCCACCCATCAGTTTGTGTCCCCTTGCTTACAGCCTACCCTCTGAGCCCCACAATCCAGAGAGGGTCAGGAAGGGAGGATGGTTGAGGAGCAGCTGTGCATCTGACAGTCCTTGCTGGTAGCTCTAGAGGCTCTGAGCTCTTTGATGGCACCGGGTCCCACGGTGGTATGGTTCCTTGGTCACTGGCTGGGTTTATTTCCGGGGTTCTGTTCCCACCCACAGGCTTGCATCCTCTATCTTAGACTCAGGTATGTTGTAGGGGGACCCCCCCCACACACACTCTGGATCTATCAAGTGGGGCTGGTTTCTGGCAGGCTCTGCTCCTAGTGTACATGACTTCCTGGCCAGAGAGACAAGGAGGGACAGGTGGCTCCTCTCTGCAGGGAGGCCATATTGGCTGACGTACGTGAGTCATATGAGTGTGGGGTCTGTGATGCTAAGGGTCTCTTCATCCTCTGCTAGGACCCTGCTCAGCTACCCCTGCCTGTGGCTGTAGGTATAATAAAGGACACAGGCCTGCCTCAGCCCAACTCTGGTGCTGCCCTGCTGGGGGACAGTACCACACATGTGGCTGCCACAAGGCCATGGCCTGCCTGGAGCCTTCATGGTCAGGCCTGACACATGTACCTGAGCGGTTACATGTGCAGAGCTGAGGTACTGTCAAACAGCCACCGAGGTGGGTCAGTAACACCCACTAGAGCTCCTGGCTGGCCCAGAAACCAGGCTTTCAGAGAGGACTTGAGGATGAGGCAAATAGCGGAGGAGCTGCATAATCCCGTTTAAAAGACTCGCTGTAAAGACCATCACAGAAGAGAAACGTTCATTTGTTATGCCTGGGTGGTGGAATACTGGGTAATTGGGAAAAAAGGTATACTTTTCTGGATTTGTCATCTTTTCTACAGATGAAAAATCAGAAGGAAAAAATGTATGTAGGATCAAATTTCGTCACTGTGAGCATCAGTGAAGGGGTCAGGGGTGGGGTGGGGAGGGGCTACATGGTAGCCACTCCCAAGGCTGTAGAGGGTGGAAGGGTCTATGCTGTCTCCCTTCCTGTTTGTTCAAGGCCAGCAGTGGCCACGCCCTTTTCCTCGAAGCCCTTGCCATCAAGTTTCCACTTAATACCCCTTGTGGGGGCCTCGGTTTGGGCGCCTCAACACTAGATGAACCCTGGGCCCACTAGCGAAACTGGTGTCCAGGGAAGGGCTGGATGTACGTGGGCCAAGAGGGGATACAAAGTCTGACTGTGGTCACTTCTGGGACATTCATTCAGCACCATCGGATATCTGTTTTTGTTCTGAGCCAGGTAACACATGGAAACTGGCGGTGCAGCATTTGGTATAGACACGAGGAAAGTAGGCCCCAGGGAGGTGATACCACAGTCCCAAGATCACCAGGCAGGTCCCAGGGCTGAGAAGCAGGCTAGCTCACCACTCCCTTCTTGCGCCCCGTTCAGGAGAGAGGACAGGCCAAGTAAGCTGAGCCTGCTGAGGGATGCTGCGGGTTGTGCCCACCTCCAGTAGGGCCAGTGTCTGCCTTACCCTGATCACTAAGCCCCCGGGGTACACATGAGCAGGCGATGCCTGACACTGAGTGCCTCTCAGGAAGAGATGGGGCGGGGCCCTGTCATGCACTGCCTCCTGGCCCATTTCTGTCCCTCTAGACGCGGAAGCAATCCTTTCTCCATGGAGGGAATCTCTCCCAGGAAATGCCTGATAAATATGCTCTGAGGGACTCCAGGGACCAGCAAGGGTCCTTGAAGATAGAGAAAGCACAGGACACGGAGGGAACAGTAGGCAAAGACTAGAGCCTCCCCTCAAAACACACGAGGGGGGCTGTCACCACTTGCCTTAGATGCAGATGGGTAGCCGCGGCGCCTATGCAGCCACGGAGGCTGCCTGTGCTTGCTCCAGCATGCCCGGGCAAGAAGAAAGGTCCCAGCCCCACTCGTGGACTCTATACACATCTGCTGAAGGCTCTTGAGCTAGGCAAGCCATCCCTTTCCTCTGCATTCCTCTCTAATTCTCATCAGCCACGCCCTCACTCCTGCCTGCCTTGCTGTCCCTCACACCTGGACGTCTGTCCTCCCTCTCCTTTCTTGGGATGCTCATCTTGACACCCCCTCCTGCCTCTGGGGCTACCTGCCTTGCCTGGTGACTGCCAGGCTGCTCCACATGAGGGTGTGGTGGGGCGGGACTCTTGGTCACTGCTCCGGGACCAGGGGAGGGCCAGTGTCTTGCTCTGGCCCCGGTGTCACTGGCATTCTGTGGGGCCCTGCAGAATGCCTGGGCTCAGCCTGTCTTGCTCTCCAGCACAGCTCAGCCTGGCCCCTGCAGTCATGCTCCAACAACGCCAAATTGCTTGTCATTCTTCACATGCTGCACGCACTTTCTCATTTTGGTGACTTTGTCCCCATGTCCCTTCTGCCAGCATCTTGTCTGCCTACCCCAGGTTAACTCTTACCCGCCTGAAAAGATCTGCTCCCCTGGATGGTTGTTACCAGCCTGTCTACCTTTGAGAGCAAGGGTGCGCAGATCTCCTACACAGCCATCCTCGCCTCCCAACTCCAAGCTCTTCTGGCGACTGGATGGCTCATTTCTAAACCTAAGCAGACCACACCCTGCCCTGGCCTCTGTGCCCAGCCTAAATGCCCAGACTCTCATCTCTTTGGCCACCACTCCCTTAGCCTCTGCCTGTTGGTCTTGGAGCCCCTGACTGCTCCCCTGCCTCCTCGGGACCTGGGGTATTCTCTTTGGAGGGTCTTCACCGGCATACCACCTCCTCTGGCAACCTGCTTAGTCTCAGTGGACGGTGTGGTGACCTGGCTCCTCGCCATGCCCACTAAGCATACAGGGCTACCTCAGGTATCAGCACCCAGTCAGGCTGCGAGGCACTTGGCTGGCAGTCTGTTGCTGCAGGAGCAAGGCCAGGCATGACTACCTGGGGCTGAGGTCATCCCCTCAACTAGCCTAGAATGCCAGTCTTCAAAGCTGTTGCCAAGGGCCACCTCTATCTACTAACCTGTCCTCTCCTGAGCCTTGAACTAGCTCCCTGGGGACAATATACCAAAATGGTAGAAACATCTGTATCTTATGCGGGACCTGTGAAGGCTATGGGCCACCTCTGTTCCCATGGACCATCCAGAGTGACCTACCCTCAGCGCCTCTGACCGGGCTGTGCTATGCCCAGTAGCTACATTTCTGTACATCTTCAGGGTCCATCATGCCTTGGTCATAGCCTGAATGATTCTATCCTTCATGCTTGTGGCTCCCTTCACCCAAGGGCATGTGAGTCATGGAGCAGCGAACAACTCAACACTCCTGCCCAAGTGCCCATCTGTCTCTCATCATCTTCTTTGATTCCCCCCCCTCACCCCCACTTTCTCGGTGGGGGTAACAGGCACAGCCAGGAAAGGTCAAGCCTGCCTGTCCAGGACAAAGGACTTGGCTGGGCTATGCTCTGTGCTGTCTTTTTTACCCCAGTGGAGAGGACAGGTGTTAATGTAAGTCTCTGCGCGGTGCTATCATGGTCACTA